TGTAAACTGCTTAGAGAGGGCTGAAAGCCCTATGAAGCGATATATAAGTCTAACTGCTATTGCTATGAAAAAAATGAAAGGATTTGGGATCAAGCACTCAAAATCAACCCACCTGGCTTGCCTCCTTCTCTCTCATGACCGAGTTGGCCTTTGGTGTTCACCCCACAGGTGTAGACTTCCCCATCTTCCAGCAAGAACACAGAGTGGTGTTTCCCACAAGCCACTTCCTTGACACTCCTCTCGTGAACAAATTCAGTGGTTTGAGGTTCAGGGATGACCGCCTGCAGAGTCGTATCTGAGCCAGGAAATCCAAAAGACCAATATCCCCAACATAACATCTTCTCTGCTTTCAGCAAGGCATGGATCTTGAAATTTTCCTGCAGGTGAAAGGAGAAGAAATATCTCTCAAAAAAAAAAGAAATAGGGGTCATCTGAAGTTCAAACAAAGCGAAGTGGTGTGGTGGCCTAAGATGTGGAGCTCTTGCCTCACCATCAGGAGGCTGTGAGTTATTAGGAAGCTGTGAGTTCGATCCTAGGCAGAGGCAGATATTTCTCTCTCTGGGCACACTGAGAATATATCTGCTGAACAAAACTCTGCATTGGCAACAGGAAAGGCATCTGGCCATTCAAACATTCTGCTAGCTCCACAAGGGGTTATGGGGTTGTTAAAAGATGATGATCTGCAGATCAAACAAAGAACAACAAAAGGGGTATCCAGTTTTTTTTAACAAAATTATTTCACAGGTAAATTGTTGACTTACAACAGTTCATTTAGCGACAGTTCAAAGTTACAATGGCACTGAAAAAGCGACTTGTGACTGTTCGTCACACCTATGACCATTGCAAATCAAAATTCAGATGCTTGGCAATCAACTCGTATTTATGACGATTGCAGAGCTCTGGGGTCACGTGATCACCTTTTGTGACCTTCCGACAATAGGGAAGCCCGATTCATTTAACAGCCATGTTGCTAATTTAACAACTACAGGGATCCACTTAACAACTGTGGCAAGAAAAGTCATAGGATGGGGCGAAACTCACTTAACAACTGTCACGCTTTGCAACAGAAATTTTGGACTCCATTGTAGTTCTAAGTCGCGGACAACCTGCGTATCAGTAAATAACATTCAAGGGGGGAAAAAAATCACAGTTCTTCTGTTTGGTAGCCTCAGTTTCATGAAACAGCTATCCAAAAGCTTAAAACTCTTTTCCTAAGAAAAGAAGCTGGCCCATTTAAATGATCGATATAAGCATTTTTGACATGTGGAGTGTTGCTTTGTGGGCAAATTTCTCAAGCCTGGTGACGTCCAGGATTGGTTTCCAATGATTTCCTGCCAGCATGGGAGTTGGAGTCAGGTTTCAACAGTCCAAGGGCAACTTTTCAGCAACTACATGAGTGGACTGCTTGAAAACCAATGTGTCTCCAGAGAAGATGCTCTACAGCCTCTGAAGCACTTCCCTAGCGCTGCGTAACGGAGCGAGCTCCCGTGAGTTGTCCCTGCTTCTGCCAACCTAGCAGTTGCAAAGCATGTAAAAAACGCAAGTAGAAAAATAGGAGCCACCTTGGTGGGAAGGTAACAGCGTTCTATGCGCCTTCTGCGTTTAGTCATGCGGCCACATGACTACGGAGACGTCTTTGGACAGCGCTGGCTTTTTGGCTTTGAGACGGACATAAGCACCGCCCCCTAGAGTCGGGAACAACTAGCACATATGTGCGAGGAGAATCTTTACCTTTACTGCATTCTAACCACTGCGCCACCACACTTCCTATTCACTTCTTCATCCAGACGTCCCTGCCAGTTCATTTGCCCATTGTGGGACACAAATGAAAACCAGAGATTTTATTTCTTCTTCTGACTCTTGAGAAAGAGCTGCAGCAACAGTTGTGTTGAAATCTCAGGTTGCCACTTTTGAAATGGCAGCTTCTTCTCTGCTGAATCATTACTGCCTAACTGCAAATTTCTCTTATTCCCTTCCCCACATTATCAGTGGAAACAAGACAAATGTGCTGAACTATGAACTATACTAACTAAAACAAAGAAGAGTGGAATTCTTCTGCCATTTTATGCCTACCCTCAAGGAAAACAGATTTGCTGCTGCTGCTAACTGCTTGTCCTCAAGTCATGCTTAATTACCCCATGCTGAAAAGAATAAATTATATAAGATGCTGTGAGAGCATACAGTACATGTCGCAGAAGTACTCCTCTCAACTTCAGAAAATTAAAACCTACAGGTTTAAAACCTTCAACTAGGAAGAAGCACTTGGGAAAAACCAGGGTGAATCGTTGCAAAGTTGTAAAAGGAAAACATTTCTAACACGCTTCATGCCAGCTGGCAAAGCAACCCTCAGGGCAAATAAGTCTCAGTACTGTTGTTGCTTGGACATTAATGCCAGAACAAATGTGTTTCTCTAGACAGGGTTGGTAATTTATTGCTTGCTCATGCCACCAGAAGCTGCGCAAGGAAAAGCACAGCACATCCTTCTATTTTAGGATAATCTTTCAATAGAAAGCATCCGGTAACATTAGGATTACCGTGGATAGAATTAGGGATTTACAGCAGAGCAGCCTAACTAATAGCTCAATTCACGTAAAACCGTTCCTAAGGGGGGAAAATGAAATGGTTAAGGGAGTGAAGAAAAGGCACTTGTGTATAGGTAGGTAAAAGACCCTTTATGAAATCTCTTGAGTACAGTTTATTCCAAACTGAAGCCGGCTGAGAATATTGTGCTCCCAAACAGAGGCTAGGAAAAACAGAGCCGGCAGCCTTCTGACAGCAGAAAATAACCAGGCTGTGACAGGCTCTTCTTTACGAGAGGGGAAAAAATCAGAGCAGGTCTGTACCGTAAAGCAGAGGTCCCCAACCCCCAGTCCGTGAGCCGGCACCGGACCGTAGCACACTAGAAACTGGGCCACGCAAACAAGCAAAGCCCCATCCATGGGATCCAAGCAACATGTGAATCCACGCTCTCTCCAGGCTACGGGAAAAATCTCTCTCCACGGAACCGGTCCCTGGTACCCCAAAGGATGGGGGATGCTGCCTTAAAGAGCTGACTAAAAAAGTTCCTATTATTCTTTGTAATAAGTACAGAAAACATTTTGATATTAGTGTGACTGTCATCATCATCACCATCACCATGCCAAATATTATTGTCACTTTCCTTCATATTTTTTGAAGGACATTATGATGTATTACCTCACTTTACTGCAGTTTATATGATTACATAAATCCTACAAACGATAAGTTTAGGCATACTAAGGTATCTCCATGAAGCAACATATAAAGTACAGTATCACCTTGTTAAGATAATTTGGTTTCTTGAAGAGATTTAGATATTTGAAATGGCTCAAAAATAGAACATTCCATTTAGATAGTTACACGCCTCTATCTTCATTCAGAAATGTACAACATGAGCAATAACAAATACCTTCAGCCTACCCAGGAGCGTCAATCTGGATGACTAACCCAGATTGGATCCTGCAACATTAAACCTTGTTTGAACAGACCACAATGGAAATCCACACCATTCTCTACAAATGGAAAGAATGTAAAAAGGAAGGTCCTTCTATCAGCTTATCCGTTTTGGTCGCCACAATATAAAAAAGATGTGGAGACTCTAGGAAGAGTGCAAAGAAGAGCAACAAAGATGATTAGGGAACTGGAGGCTAAAACATATGAAGAACGGTTGCAGGAACTGGGTTTGTCTAGTTTTATGAAAATAAGGACTAGAAGAGACATGATAGCAGTCTTCCAATATCTCAGGGGTTGCCACAGAGAAGAGGGAGTCAAACCATTCTCCAGGGCACCTGAGTGTAGGACAAGAAGCAATGGGTGGAAACCAAGGAGAGAAGGAACTTAGAACTGAGGAGAAATTTCCTGTCAGTGAGAAGCATTAATCAGTGGAACAACTTGCCTCCAGAGGTTGGGAATGCTCCAACACTGCAAGTTTTTAAGAAGATGTTGGATAACCATTTGTCTGAAATGGTATAGGGTTTCCTGTCTAGGCAAGGGGTTGGACTAAAAGACCTCCAAGGTCCCTTCCAACTGTCATTCTATTCTATTCTATTCTATTCAATCCCTAACCCTGTCACGGATCCTATTGTGCTGACACCATTAGCCGAGGTGGCACAGTGGTTAAATGCAGCACTGCAGGCTACTTCAGCTGACTGCAGTTCTGCAGTTCGGCGGTTCAAATCTCACCAGCTCAGGGTTGACTCAGCCTTCCATCCTTCCGAGGTGGGTAAAATAAGGACCCGGATTGTTGTTGGGGGCAATATGCTGACACTGTAAATCGCTTAGAGAGGGCTGAAANTATATATATATATATAAATAAATATAAATATATATATAAATATATTTATATATTTGAGATATTTAAAGAGAGCCAGTGCAGGCCTGTCAAACTGGCAATCTGTGGACCAAATAAGGCCCGTGCAGGCTACAGAAAGGCAAAAAACATCCCGATATGTCACAATACATCAGGATACAGCCCACAATGTGTCTAACCTTGGAACTTTAAGAATTGTGGACTTCAGCTCCCAGAATTCCCCAGTCATTAGAGCTCCATTACAGTTGCATGTTAAGAACTACTTATAATGTGCCGAATAGGCATATGTTTGAGAACTTCTATTGTTGAAACTACTCTAGTATCTTTCAGATATTACAGAGAATTGTCATTTTTAGAAACATTAACTTCTTCTGTTCACAAGAAACAGAAGCGAGGATCATCCTCTTTTTGAAACTTTTCCCAGAACTGTTGCTATCGTTGAGCAGAAAATTGTTTAACTGGAGGGTTAGTTTAATGTTACAGCCCTAGTCAGAAAAGTTAAATTATTAAATGTTAAAAATTCTAAATACCAGCTGCTAGAGCGAGACAATGCCAGTTCCCACACGAGACCTGCAGGATCGTCTCTTGGTTCAGCTTCTTTATTAACCTAAGAAAACAAATTACACACTTTAACAAAGTTGTGGAGGTGTAATATAATTATCTAGTCTTCATTATTATCATTTCTATTAAAGAGATTGTCACAGTGAGACTGGATTAGACAATATTATCATAGTCCTAAAACATTATTGGTTTGAATGTTAAAGCAAGAAAAATAGGAGTACTTTTATTAAGTGGGATGATGTACTGGAAGCCCCAAGTATCTATCACAGTGGAAACAAAACAAATCAAGATATCCATGAAATCACTTGCATGTAACAGAATAACAGAGTTGGAAGGGACCTTGGAGGTCATCTAGTCCAATCCCTGCGCAGGCAGGAAACCCTATACTGTTTCAGACAAATGGTTATCCAATCTCTTCCTTAAAACTTCCAGTGTTGGAGCATTCACAACTTCTGGTGGCAAGCTGTTTCACTGATTAATTGTTCTAAC